AATGTTTTAATTTGGATTTAACGTTTCCGAGAATGGGCTACTTAGTTGACCTTGAGAATTCATTTCCCACGAGAAAATCCTTGGCTGTGATTGACTACTGTGTATTTTAGTGTGCTATTTTGTGACTGTCCCAAGGACGTTTCTATGATATATAAAAAATGGGATTTGTGTGCTCGATTACATTTTGCTTGCTGGGTGTTTGTAGAACATACTTTCTACGCTATATCAAGACTTCTATTAAGCCGTTCGGATCAGGGTAGCCTACCTGGACGCTGGCTCATTGTCTCGTTCTCGTTTATCGACTAAGGTGAACCCGTCATAGTTTCAAGCATACCTAGTGACGAACGTAACAGAAACCACCATCCACTGATCCCGGATGTATAATGATGGTCTCAGGAAAATCGATTCATCATTCTAATGAAGCTTTCAAGGAAACTAAATATGAACTTTAGTTCGTTAAATTCTACCTTGTCATAGAACAGCGATTTAGCTCGAGTTGTCATAATGACTCCTTCCAGTTTTGCAATAATTAGTATAATAATCAAAAACTTTACATTTCAGGGATTGCTCACAACTTATTAGAACTACTCACTTACTTTGCTTACTTTCGCCTGTTACCCCCAATGGAGCATAGGCCGCCAACCAGTTTTCTCCAAACAACTCTGTCCTGGGCTTCCCTTTCCAATTCTGTCCAATGTCTGTTCATTCCTCTCATATCTTTCTCTATTTCTCGGCGTAATGTGTTCTTTGGCCTTCCTCTTTTCCTTTTGCCTTGAGGGTTCCATGTGAGGACATGTCTTGTGACGCAGTTAGGTGCTTTTCGTTGTGTGTATCCTATCCACTTCCACTGATTCTTCCTGATTTCCTCCTGCATTGGAATCTGGTTTGTTCTCTCCCACAGTAAGTTGTTGCTAATGGTGTCTGGCCAACGAATCCGAAGTATTTTGTGTAGACAACTGTTAATCAATACTTGTATCTTCTGGATGATGGCTTTCGTAGTTCTCCAAGTTTCCACTCCATACATTAGAACTGTCTTGACGTTTGTATTGAAAACCCTGATTTTGGTTTTGTTTGAAAGTTGTTTGGAGTTCCAGATATTTTTCAACTGTAGAAATGCAACCCTTGCTTTGCCAATCCGCGCCCTCACATTTGCATCAGATCCACCTTGATTGTCGATGATGCTGCCTAGATATGTAAAGGTGTCAACGTCCTCCAAGGCATCTCCACCATTTTTAGGCCAGATAGTTGTAAAGATGTTCAAGATATTTCTAAAGCTATTAGATGACATTATTTTATTGGTATTATTTTTGTACCTTGGACCTATTCGTCATTTTTTTTAACTCTTTCCATTTGTAATCTTCACAATATACTTATTTACACACTTCTTATTATGTAATGACAATAGTGTTTTGTAATCATAAGTTTAGATATTTTCATTCAAGTTTGAATTACTACCTGGCAATGCTGAAGTATGAATTAGAATTTATGTTAGTTCATTGTTCTCACTACTAATAGTATACCTATATTCCTACTAGTAACTTGTACTTTTAACAATTACGTATGATTACGTAATCTATTCCGGCGTGATCATCGTAAACTAAATTAATTTCATATTTTCCCTTAAATATTCACGTGCATTAGAGTTAAGCCTGATGACAATCTATTTGCTGGTTTACATTCGTTATTCTAATTTTCACAATGGGATTTCTTAATTTTTGAAAATGTAAGTTGGACATTGATGAAAATTAACTGACGTAATTCTCGCTGAGATTCACGAAACTCGGTGGTTCAGAAACACAACTAAGATAGAATAGTTATGGTCCGATTAGTACAATGTTTGATATCTCTGGGATTATCTTTGTGGTAGTTGGAAAAATCACTTGCAACAATCATATTCGAGATGGCAAATGTTGTATTTTGACGCTGAATTTTGTTCATCCATACGGTTAAATGACATTTTGGCATTGTAGTCATTGTCAATTCACAATGAAAACCTCTAGCTCTCATTGTTAAAGGCTTAAATTCGATTGGAAATTCTCTCAATAATTGTGTACACTAATTTGGAATGTTCTTTTAATCCTAGTAAGTAGATAAATATTCTCAAGGTCACTTCAGAATCATTCTAAGGTCGTTCATAGATTACTGTCTGACCATATTCGTCGACTCCATATTTTCCCATCCTCCAGTTACTATTCTAAACAGATAAAGTTTCTCATGTCAAATAGCTTATTGGTCCTGACTTTGGCCAAGCTAAGACTATATGTTCGACAATCTAGGAGTTAGTTTAAAATTTCATCTGTAGGAATTACTATCTACAACCACTGCATGCGTTATTTACTTGTCTGTTGTTCAATATTAGGACGTGTGAAATATACATATCTTCAAATACAATTCGTAGTCAACTTTTGATATACAGTTGTTCTGAATAATTTGAGCCAATAGAACACGCACAATGTTGAAAAGGAGATATATTTCACCAACATGAATATTTTTCACAGATTAAGTAGTCAATAAGTTGCACTAAAATCTTGCTAAATGAAACGACGAGTACATTTTTCAAGCCATATTATAACCTTTAGCTATCCTCTTTCAAAATCTTCTGTACAATCAAACTAATTGGCTTAAAGAGGCTAGAAATTAAAAAGTCTATTTATTTAAATCTTAACTCAGTGTACAAAATCAGCGCATTCTATTATTCATTCTACCGTAATCGTAACACTCTTGTCAAATGAACTATCACAACTCATTTCTAAATATTCTTCAGAATTTACCTCCGACTGAACAGTGAAGAGTGAATAGTATCAGTCAAGCTGAAATCTGGCTAATAGTTTAAGCGACAAGATAATGTGTATATTATGTTGAGATACTAAGTCGTTTGGGGATGTCTACAGGAAACCTTGAACTCATTTTTCATACCATTTAGAATTGGATAACTAGATATATTCGTAATCTAGAGGAAATTCATACTCCTTGTATCAGAGTTTTACTATCCACTCTCTTCAACCACTAAACATCTCAGAATAATGCATACAGTGAGATGGTGGAGAAAATTTATAGCTCCGGTAGATGATTGTAGTGGAGTTTTGTTCTCTGGCTATAGTTACAGTAATCGTGCTGTAATTTCCGATATGTCTTTTATATATGGTCAGATGGTCTGCTTGTTGGAATATGTGTAGAACGTGAATTAACAGAATCCTATGTAGATCAAACGAAATAAAACACTACATTGGAAAAAGTGAACATCCTCTTCAGCTTCGTTTGCGTCAACATCAATTAGCAGTCAAACATCATTACATTCCTTCCCTTATAACAATACATACGCACAATTACGTACATGCATTTGATTGGAACAATTTTGAAATACTGGGTAGGAAGAGTACAAAGAGAGAATTTGTAGAAGCCTGGCACTCAAGCCAATCAGCAATCAACAAACATATCGACATTGACCCAATTTATCAACCAATCAAAACAATCACAGACAAACATGTGATCAAGAAACAGATCAAAGGGGTATACAATTAAATTGAAAGCGCAGACAACTACCGGTTTAAGGTCAATAACTACCAATGAAGATCGAGGTTGACAGGACAAACTACGAGTCATACGTGAAGAAATTCGAATACTTCGTTTCTACCTAACGTTTGTACTGATGATGTTGTTCAGAAGAACAATGAAGGCTCCAGCTCAGATAAACGAAACAACACGACAAACATTATCAAATCACTTAAACAAGTGACTATATTGATCTACAAAATTTAATTAGCCTATAAGGAATGAAACAAACATGACATTGATCAAATAATCGTAATTATCTTAGCTCCTCTATAAGAGACTAGTCGTGATTTGTGTATTTCATTGTTGGTATCTCAGTTTGTGTAATTGGATAACACCTATTCAAGTAGGTTAAAGAACATAGATTCTCCAAAGATTATTAATTTTCTGCTATTTCCTCATTCATTCATATTTCTCTTTATATATTTTTTTCCCCTAGACAATTATCTTTCATCTGAAAAGTATCCTTATCTTTTTATTTCTTATCAACCATTATGATTTTAGCCAACTCTGCTGCTTCTGTCGGGGGGCTAGTTGGACAAATTTATTTTATTCATACAGAATGCAAACAAACGTAAGGGCGTGAAACGTAGAATTGAAGTGAAGCAAATCAGAGAAGACCAGTGGACTAACTTGATTTGATGAAGTATGATTAAATGTTTGTAATCTTTTTCTAATTAGAGTTATGGAGATTAATTTTGTTACACACTGAAATCATTAACCAATCATTGTTAGGTCACCACCATTAGAAACCTGGAAGCACTGGACGACCGTTTCGTCATGGTATGGGACTCATCAGGGGCAGTACGCATCCACGACTCTTCCATCCCGCAGGATTCGAACAGAGGACATTTGGTCTTGCGTATGAACGCCTAACCTTTGGACCGCTGGGCAGGCATCCAACGGTGCTGATGAGTCCCACACAAGGAAGAAACGGCTGTCCAATACTCCCAGATTTCTAATGGTGGTCTAACAATGACTGATTGATTCATGATTCCAGTGTATTTATAGTCAGATTAAATCAGCTTGTCATGTGACAAATGTAGTAAGCAATACACCCACGCATACATACACAAATAAAATCAGCCTAGATTATAAGCGATTAACTGACAAGGTCAAAAGTCATGTGAATAATCACTCGAGTAGAATAGATGAATTAATTTGTTTCTCAGCTGCTAGAACAAATCACATAGGCTTCACATCACGACACACCATACAGTAGCTTAACGAAAATAAAACGCGATTTTATTCTCCAATTAATCTTTATATTGAATAAAATACAATTACAAATTATGAAAATTAACAATTGGAATTTTTAGCTAATAATTCTATTTCTGTCAAAATAACAAAGAGAATGAATAATCATTGAAAAATAACAACCGACCAACAGAAAAAAACAAAAATTATTGATTGATTGATTGATTTAATAATAATAATAATTATTATTATTATTGTAATATTGGTTCAATGATTTTCGCTGCCATTATTGGCATGGTTAATTGTTGATCATAAATGAAACAGACAAATGGATGAGTGACATGAAAATCAACATCAGGTAATATAGCTGAAATCGGGATAAATGTGGGTGATGTGATAGCAGTTGCTTCAATACCACTTTCATTCAATTTGAGTACATTGGTTTGAATAAATTTATTCACAAATAGTTTATAATCTGATGTGATACCTGTGAAGAGGAAGATACAAGGAAAAACAAAGTAAAATTAGGATGAAGTAGTGGAATGGATATGTAGTATGTGCTATTGGATTACTTGGCAGATGACCTAGCTCTTCTATCGCACACGTAACAACAAATGCAAGAGAAGACGACCAGTGTAGCAGCAGCCTCTGCAACAGTAGGTCTCAACATACATAAAGGAAAAAGCGAAATTATCCGATGCAACACAACATGCACCAACCAAACCATTCTTGATGGAGACGCCTTGGAGGTCGTTAACACCCTCACATATCTGGGCAGCATCATCGACGAGAAAGGTGGATCCGATGCAGATGTGAGGACGTGGATTGGCAAAGCAAGGACTGCATTTCTACAGTTGAAAAATATCTGGAACTCAAAACAAATATCAATCAACTCCAAATTCAGGATTTTCAATACAAATCTAAAGACATTTCTACTGTATGGAGCGGAAACTTGGAGAACTACCAAAGCCATCATCCATAAAATACAAGTATTTATGAACAGTCGTCTACGCAAAATACTTCGGATTTGTTGGCCAGACATGATCGGCAACAACTTACTGTGGAAGAAAACAAACGAGATTCCAGTGGAGGAGGAAATCAGGAAGAATCGGTGGAAGTGGATAGGACACACATTACGAAAAGCACCTAACTGCGTCACAAGACAAGACATCACTTGGAACCCTCGATGAGTTAACATGCACAATAATATTCAGATCATATCATAGATGAGAACATCGTCAAACATTTGTCAAAAATAACATTCATTTCTGTCAAGCGAAATGTAAATCTATCAAGTTTTCGAACACCTATGAAGTAAGATGTCTAAACTAATTATATTACTAAGATTTCAATATAAGTAGTAAAATTACCAGGAATAAATTTTCAAAAATGATGGAAGTAAGCACGCAAATTTAACATAACCATTATCAAATTAGTTAATAATAAAAGTGGTTGGATGTTTGAATCCAGTAGCTAAATATATATAATGTCGTTTGAAGTGAGTGGAATCGGGTTCGAATCTTTGTGTGAACATCAACTTAAGGATGTAGGTACTTCCTGTTGACGAGTATTAGGTAGGAATAAACATGTATTCTGCACTCCACTGTTAGTCATATTTCATCTCATCTATATAAATAAGAGAATATTCAAATTACTAGGATCATTCACCTTCAAGATCTATCATCCTAATCACTGAATTCATAATAAGCGTCAGCAAAAATTAATGATTAATTACAGATTCTACTTCTACTGAATTGTCTCTTGAGAATATTACACAATTCTTCACTGTTGAAAAGTAATTGACTCAGTGTGTTGGGAATAGTAGTTTAGCAAGATTATAATTTATGAGCGAACTAATCAGATTTAAGATCACTGATGTTGGATTTTGGTGCAAAACTCATACATGCATTTTGGCATTATAGCTGATGCCAGTTCATGATGAAATCCCTAACTTCTAACTGTAATTACTTACAACAACTTAAAACCTTCCTTAGATCCTATTAATCAGAACCAATAGTTGGAATTTATTAAGTTTTACTCCCAAGTTTGCAATCGTGGAATGCAAATGTTTTTATAACTAATTTTAAAAAAGTGTTTAAACGATTAAATCAATGATCAATAAAATTGTCATAGTAAAATGAAAAGGTCATTGTAATTCTCATCATTTACTTGTTCATATTACTTGAGAAGATAAAAATTGTTTTAATAAAACCACGGGGAAGGCTTGTGATCAGTTTATGTATTCAACTAAACTCAACAATCATGACAGTCATCACCTACTCACAACAGAGCAAATTCTCGCAGTTCCATAAAGAATCCGTGAACCAATGGAGTACAGTCGTGTTCAGTGTGAGGCAGTCACCCAATGAAGACAATAGATAAGTGTTAGGTTCGTCACTAGGTAAGGTTGAAACTATGGCGGGTTCACCTTAGTCGATAAACGCGAACGAGACAATCGACTAGCGTCCAGGTAGGCTACCCTGATCCAAACGGCTAAACAGAAGTCTTGATATAGCGTAGAAATTATATTCTACGAACACCCAACAATCACAATGTAATCAGTCACACAAATCCCGTTTATTTATACATCACAGAAACGTCTTTGGGCCATTGACAAAAACAGCACACTAAAATACACAGCAACCAATCACAGCCATGGATTTTCCTGGTGGGAAATGAAATCTCAATGTCAACTGATCAGCTCATGTTCGCAAACATGAAATCCAAAATTAAGACATTTATCAAGCGGCTCGTTGGTCAAGAGATTAAGTGTTCGCGTGAGAGAATGAAGGTCGTGGGTGCGCACTGCTGATGAGCCTCACACTGGGACAAAGGGTTCATCCAGTGCTTTTAGGGTTTGGACTGTAGTTTAACAGTGGTCAGTTCATAGGTTTCGATGAAACTAAACAGTCTCCACCACCCTATACTGACAATCATTGTAATCATCTGAGAAAGCGATATACAGTTGATTTCATAATTTACTAATCCAAATGACTAAAACAAAACATATATATATCCTTACCTGATAGATCAGCGGTTCCTGGATTAAATAAATCAACTATACCCATAGAACTTAGTGGCCGAATAAGGTCAAGGGTATTTTTTACTGTGAATTTTGGTAATCGTAACGACACTGTAATATCTTGTAATTGCTTCATATATTCACTTAAAATTTTATTGCCATTCAAAAGTTCCACAGCTCCAGTTAATGACCATTTTTCAAGCGGTAACACAATAACAAATGAAAATCGTGTGTTCTAAAATAATAAATTTGAGGGGAAAAAAAAGAATAAATCTAGTACCATAACCTCGGAAAAACTAGGCATTCACAAATTATGAAAACGTAGCGATTTTTGGACAACTTATTACTTTAAACAGGCAGCTATTGTAATTCACATTACGTAACTAATTGTAGAAGGAGATTTATTCCATTCCATAAAACAAATTGCAAGTTCTCCTAATAATGTGCTATCATGCACCTCGCAGGATTCGAACCCATGACCTTCGGTATTGTGCGCGAGATGCAGGAGTCGTGGATGAGCATTGCTGATGAGTCCCATATCAGGATGAAACGGCCACCTAGTGCTTCCAGGTTTCTAATGGTGGTCTAACAATGATTGATTGATGATATCAAATGTGTACAAACACTAATCTCCGTAACTCTTATTGGAAACGTCTCTCAACATTCAATTCTCTAGTTCGTATTGTTGAAGACCTTACCATCTCCACCTTAGCTTTCACATCATCTCCACTCCACCTACTGTTCAACACCTAGATGTTTGGAAGATACAATTTACTGGTAAAATGGGTATATCTTGTCTTTAAACATTAATTCGCAAAATAAATAGATGATCAGCTGCTTTCTTTCATACATCTCCTGGTCTTCAAAACACTATGATTGCATCACATATCCTTGATCAGAAACTCTTCTTTTCAGCGCTAACTTTGGCGTGACAATCCATTGCACATAAGTTGCATACTACTTATAAACCGTGTTTTGAGTAACATGCACCACACTATTAACTCTACTTCTCCAACATTCGACCAAACAATTTCATCTCTCTTTGACAATGTGATATGGCAACTTGAACTGGTCTAGGCATGTACCAAGTTCTACATTTTCAACTGACTAACTGACTTACTATTACAGATTATGACATCAAGTGTTATCCCACATGATATTAGATAAGTAATCTTTTTCCAAAAAATCTTGATCATATGTATATATATGCAATCAGTTATCAAATTATCACCACCAAAAAAGTAATACAGATTTTCAATTACTAACCTTGAATGGTTTACTAACAATTTCAAATCCATCATTTTCGAATTTTCCATACTTTAATAGTTCTTCTTTTGACATCATAGGAACTTGTAGATGACGATCTGATGAGACACTGAAATTCTCTATTCTAGTATAATGTTGTTCAAATGGATTTTGCCAAAAATCTAAAATCATCAATGATTAGATTATTTTTGAACAGGATAGATTCGAAAAATACAATGTTTTTTATCGATTCTAAAACATCTTGAAATAAATGAGATTTCAATGGTTTTATTTTGTAAAGGGACAATACTATACAAAAATTGATTTATAGTAAAATGTAGGGAAAAAAATACACTTCGTACTGGCGGTTTCAATCTTTCTGCGGATAGGTAAAACTACAACTGATCAGTCTTATATGTCAGTAATACATCTTGTGTGAATTGCCGCGTTATAGCCTATCAAGTCAGTAGCATGATAACCAGAGATGGATAGTGACATTAAGCCAACGGCTGTCTGAAATTAATAGTCAAGTGAATAATTCGAGGATGTTGAAAGTGGACGGTAGGAGGTTCGAGTCCTGGAGTGAACCTCAACCCTGCAATGCAGGAGTATCCAGACGAAAGCGAATTCAAAATGAGTCATCGTGAATTCCACTTCTAACCACTATTTATCTTTGTTTATCATGAAGTGCCATTAGAAACAATCAGTATAACAATAGTTATTATGATGAAATGACTGAGGATAATGAAATTAAAGAAGATAGTTTTAAGAAAGTTCACAGTTTACTTGGTCCATCTATGAGAGATCTCAAATTTTCAGAATAAATAGTAAGATTAGTACAGTTGATATTCATTATATGTATGAGTTCAATCGAGCGGAAATAATAAATTAATTGGTGTTTATGGTTTCCTCGTTTTTACGGTTTCTGTTGTCAATAATGATTTACCGTACGCAATTCGTAATGTCCAATTGAGACTGACTAACCTAAACAAAACAAGATTTCCACTATATATGATGTTAGCTAGTAACGGAAGATTATTTATTCAGCTGACTGGTGTACTGCATTGCTGAAAGTTTACAAAGCATACAATTGATTTCCTTTCTTGAAAAATTACTGCTTAGTAAGATACTCAAATTCTTATTGTTCAGTTTAATTCACGAGTGATAAAACAAGTATAGATGACAACTAGGTATGAGCGCCCTAAATATTACTAAAAAAATTGTCGACTTATCAAATAGGAAAAATATTTTTCATTACGGGGTTGTGGAGGTTATAATTTACTCATGAAGACCATGAATCGATCAATGTTAGACTAACACTAGAAAGGCAGAAGAACTGAACGGCCGTTTTGTCCCGGTTTGGGACTCTTCAGTTGCAGTACGCATTCGCGACTCCTGCACCTCACAGGACTCGAACCCAGGATACTCGGTCTTGCGCGCGAACGCCTGACCTCCGGACCACCATAACCCTGTCTAGTGTGAGACAATGCTCACCGAAGATGAGGTCTTGTAAGTTCTTGGATTGACTGGAGTTAGACGTTAACACCGTTGGGTGCCGTCTCAATTGTCCAGGACGTTGGGCATTTGCACACGAGATCGAAGGTCATGGGTTCGATTCCCGAGTGTGATTTGTAACTGATTCCTTTGATCATCGCTCAGCCTTAATAAACATGTAATAGTTTTATGACTGTGATCGCTATCAGAGAGTTTTTACGTGAATAAATCTGTAGTAAACAGGTAGCCACAGATCAATGTTTAGTCCCTAATAATATTCGTCTCCATGGTTTAACCGTGGGTGATACGGGCTCAAGTCTTATTGATATATGAGTCCCCCGCCCAAGTTTGGAGTTCCACCAGTCTGAAAAGTTTCAGTCGACGCGAATCCTAATCCACGATTGTCCATATAGATGACATCAACCAACTGACATAAAAGCATAAAATACTTAAAGAATTTAAGGACATTATTATGACTCTAATTATTTGATTCATGACAGTTTAAGCAACAAATATTACTCAAATCTCTTTGAGTAAACTTTATCTTTCTACATATTATAACTTACCCCTAAAATAGAAAACATTAATCAATATCATCCAAGTATTATCTGGAATGTCATCCATAAAGAATTTCTCTACTAAACCATTCGATTGTTGATCAACCCAATTATTAATTGTAAGTGCAGCAGTAGTTCGATTTGAAAAATCCACCTAGAATAGGGAAAATTTAATTTTTTTTACTCTAATTGTCAACTAAATAAAAAAACATAACATCCATTCAAACTTCTACATCACAATAAGTGAATATATTTAATATTGAACAACGTTTAAATTATAATGGTGTCAGTGTGGTGCGAGCTACTTATAAGTAGTATATGACGTGAGTGTCAACGTAATGTCTGGCAGCAGAAGATGGGGGAAGATCAAGAAAGGAAGAGTTAGAAGAACACAATGGAATTTGTATGAAACGCATGAATAGTAGTGACAATGGATTGATGTTTTGCAACAGGAACAGTCCAGTTCGATATGATGAACTGATATTTTGCAAATTAACAAGTAATTGAGTAACTCTATAATTTTCGTTAAATACAATCCGGTTGCCCCACCTGTGTTCTCCTTCACTACATCAGGAGAATAAACGACTTTATTTCGATTACGATTATTAGTATTAAACTTTGGAGGTGTTTTAACTGTAAAGCTTCCATTATTATTTTAAACAACATTAATCCACCATATTTCAACGATAAATAAACTACAAGAATGGTAGTATACTTTAAAACAGTGGTGAAGTCAAGTTGATGAGTGCCATAGTCGAATGAAACAACCTTTCAGTGCTTCCAAGTCTCTAATGCTGATTTAACATTAAACGATTCATGATTTCAATTTGATTCAGTTTACACAATTGAATAATATTAGTGTTAACAAATCAAACTAATCAGAAGTGACCTAATGAGAGGGCTATTGGACGACCATTTAAAAATGTCATGAATGACGAATACTTATCGTTGGTCAAGAAATAGCTTTCTTTACTAAGCAGATTAATACATAGATTTAGACAAATATTTTTTTATATTATTAGATAGACGAATAGACCTTCTTTTCTGCTTTTCACCAGCCATGTTTTGTGACGGGACAGTTGGAACTTATAGCTTTCAGATCTTGACCTCACACATCATCACAACTTCCTCTTACATCCACAGTTTAGTTTAAATGGGTGTTAACGAATCTGTAGTGGATTAGTAAGTTAAAAAAGGAAAACCCTATCATTCTGTTGACAACTCAGTTATATTTTGAATTTTAAAAATACATAAATTCCATTGACTTTCAGAACGACATTATCAAAATGTTTACTCTCAAAAAGCATACTCTCTGTACTTCTTAACCTTAACGTGAAATCAAACTATTCTTCCTCCATTATCTACTGAACAATCTATAATGCAACACAATAAAACTGTTCATATATTTTGTTTATGAAATACATTATTATTATTACGCCAGTTAACCCCAATGGAGTATAGGCAGCCGAGCAGTATTCTCCAGCATACACAGTCCTGGGCTTCCCTTTCTAGTTCTTTCCAGTTTTTGTTCATTCTTCTCATGTCTTCCTCTTCTCGGCGTAATGTGATCCTTGACCTTCCTCTTTTCCTTTCACCTTGAGGGTTTCAAGTGAGGGCTTGTCTAGGGACGCACTTGGGTGCTTTACGCAGTGTGTCCTATCCACTTCCACCGTTTCTTCCTGATTTCCAACTCCGCTGGAATCTGGTTTGTTCTATCCCACAGTACGTTGTTGCTGATGGTATCTGGCCAACGAATCCGAAATATTTTGAGTAGACAACTGTTAATAAACACTTGTATATTCTGGATGATGGTTTTGGTAGTTCTCCAAGTTTCCACTCGATACAGTAAAACTGTCTTTAGATTTGTATTGAAAATCATGATTTTGGTGTTGATTGATATTTTTTTGGAGTTCCAAATATTTTTTAATTGTAGAAATGCAGCCCTTGCTTTACCAATCCGCGCCCTCACATCTGCATTCAATCCACCTTGATTAGCCGATGATGCTGTCTTATGAAATACATATACATATCATATTTCACAAGTTCCCTCTATTTAACCCAAAATCATTCAAAGTTTACTTAACAGTAATTAATAATAAGTATTAAATATTCATTGAATAAAGAATTTAGTTATTTACACATTTTGAAACGATGAATCGATCAATGTTAGACCACCATTAGAAACTTGGGAACACTGGACGGCCGATTCGTCCTGGTATGGAACTCATCAGCAGTGCGCATCCACGACTCCTGCACCCCGCATGATTCGAAACCGCATGCGCGAACACCTAACCTCTGGACCACTGAGAAAGAGAGAACATTTCTCAGCAAAATTTTCTCATAGATATTGATGCATTTTGTTTATATTCGTCTCATCAAATGACTATATCACGTATGTTTTCACTTTATAAACTCACATGATCCTGTAATATTTTGAATTAATCTCTAAGTTGTTGAATTCACACATTGATCTAAGCTACACACACAATATCCATTGTAAATCTGAAAGCACTAGAACTCATCAGCATTGCATATTGACGTACCTCGCAAGTGACAATCAGACCATAAGACCATTATTCACTTCCACAATACACAAATGTTTAACTTTCTAGATCATAATTTTTGGTAAAATTATTTTTGAATTTTTACATACATTTCAAAATATCAAGTTCATAATATAATCCTAGACATTATTTGTTAAATTAAAACTAATTTCAGCAACCATGTTATCATGTTATCATTTGCACTTGTCTATAATATACATTTTTTCTAACAACTTGTATGTAATCATGCTTATCATCATCATCATCATCAACATCATCATCAAAACATATCAAATCACATTATTTATTTACAATAAATGATCATCAGTAGATTTTTGAGAGAAGTTTGTTTATATTATACAAAAAGTAAACACATGTGTTATTAATCATGTCAATGAGAAATGTATACATTACATTGAAAATTATTTATCTATACATACATATATACCTATTAGAATTATGAAATATTCAAAGATGCAATTTATGCATAAATTTGTGTCTATATAAACTTATTTTTCATAATAATAATAATAATAATAATAATAATAATAATAACAGTGATAACAATAGCATAACAAGCATCTGATTAATTAATGATGATTAAGTCTTGTGAACGGTAGTTGTATTCTAAATCAATTATTGATTTTATAGGCGATAGGGTTTTCTATGGTGTTGCTTACTCTATCTAATGTCCATACATGATGATAAAATCATATACATATTAAATAATCGGTATGGCCAAGAGTGAAGAGGGTATGCTCATCCTCTTGAACTGTTCCTGCATTTCCATGCATACATAATCACCGTCGAAAGAATTCTTACTTACTAACTTCTCGTGGCCGAGCTGTTGTTTATGAAATTCATAGGGTGAAAAATGAATGTCTGGCGCTTTAACCGACTTGATGAGTATGAACGATTCACATAGGGGAGTTAGAAAATTCTCATTGTAAACTAATGGCACTCATTGACTCCAAGAATCTAAGGGAATAAATCGTGTATGAAACTAATGTTAGTCACCAGCCACCATAAGACTACATTTTATGATGTTGAGCTAATGACTTGTGGATCAATCCTCTTAATCAAAAGTTCAGGAACAAGGCTCAGGGAGAAAACCAACAACATCGGTTCGGTCACCTGGGTCAACTCATAAATAAATATTTCAGTGCCTGTTTGTACAACTGTTTATGAGTTTATATTTTTTAAATAAATAAATTTGGGATGATTCACTTTAGTTCAATAATGAAAAAAACTCAAATATTCTCTTGAGTATCAAAAATTTACTTGAATTAAGTCATAACAATAAACGGTAGAAATTAACACCAGCTATTTATGTGAAAAAAAGCAGATGATGATGATGATGATGACGATAGAAGTCTATCATTGAAGGCAGCATTCTGCTCACGGTTAAATGCTCTTCTCAATCCTCAAAGATCAATACATAATCTGTTTAGATGCTAAACGAACTAGTGTTTTGAAAAGTTTAGTTCACAAAGTTTAAAATCTATCAATCTCATCCTTATCAATTCTATCATGCACTCGTAATAATCTAGATCGTTTTACTACGTTTAAATTTTTCAAACTGTACATATCTGAAGGTTGTTATGTCATCATATTCAAATAAATGATAAATATTGTAGGATAACTATAAAATCGTGCAAGGACGTCAGTATACAGATTGTTTACGCTCTCTCTCTCTCTGATGGTTGACTGGATAATCAAATCCTCAAAATCTGTGGAGAAGCAAGGAATACGACGGATAGCTTGTCTTCAGTGGTTAATTGCCTAACACCCGACACGTTTGAACTCTACTGATCACTACTCCTCCTTGCTAGTTTGAGAATTCGCTTACAAAGCTAGTTACTAGTGACAGTTGTGGAGATTGTTGAGTTAGGGATGTGCACTGTTGATGTGTCCCATATTAGGACGAAAATGCCATCTAGTGCTTCCAAGTTTTCTATGCTAATCTAACATTGATTGATTTATGATTTCAGTTGAAAAAAGTTTTTATCATGAAACTGATAATAGTTAAAAGTGATTGAACATTGCAGCGTTGTTTAGTCTCAGTTTTAAACTCTTCAACAATGAGTATCTGTGACCTCAAATTTAGTTGAACACATTAATATCACAGGTCACAGTGACCTTCATATGATTCAGCTGAGCTAAAACCCAATAGTATTATGGTTCTTAACCCCTATCGATTAACAGTTTGAAGCAAAAATCTTTTTTTAACTAGCTTACTTAAAACTTGGATGGATTCATAATTCACGCTCTACTTATAGACTCATTACAAATACAACTCAAGAATTTTCAAACTGAATATAAGGTTATTCATTCTTGATTTCTATTAGTTACAGATGAGCCGATAAACGTGGGAAATAGAAAACCATGTTCATCGATCGCAAAACACATAATTGATACAGGGAATAAGATTGATATCAAGATAGTCTTTAAAACACTGTATAGAAACGTTGAAGGACGGATTTTGAGGTTTATGGAAACCTTGGCTATTCGTAAATTAAAATCCTTGTTATATGTACAGAAACGATTTGTTTTGAGCTTGAATTTACCCTGGTATGGACTAGTGTAATGTGACAATTTCCTACCCTTTCTCTCTCCCTCATTAACAGTTATCATCTTATGTCTGCTTGACCTTTTATTTAATTGACCTTTGTTTATTCTTTATATAAAATGCCTTGACAAGTGTGCATATGTGACCAGATCGTTTTCGATATGTGTAGTGTAAATACATCATATTTTTCAGCTTAAATACGTCTTCTCACTGTTCCATCAAAATTTATGAAAGGTACTAATAATGAATGACAAACTATTATAACAATATTTTGGGGCAGAGTTAGACATTAACAGCGTTAGATGCCGGCCCAGTGGTCCGATGGTTAGGCGTTCGCGCACAATACCGAGGGTCCCGTGTTCGAATCCTGCGGGGGGCAAGAGTCACGGATGCGCACTGTTACTGATGAGTCCCATACCAGGACGATACGGCCGTCCAGTGCTTCCAGGTGTCTAATATTACAACAATACATGTTTCATGAATATAACTTTCTACTGTTTTGGTGTTTCGTTCTCTGAGCTGGATATTTCGACTGTAGAGCTCAGAGAACGAAACACTACAACAATCATCCGAGCTGAGCTACTACATATTCATAGATTATGCGTGAAATCGATTGATTTTTTTATTCATTCATTCATTCATTATTTACGCAAAACAATCATGATTTACCATTAAAAGTTCACCTTCAAAATCATTTTTGATACTATTGTTAAAGTTATCTTCTAAATTAATTGTATCTTGTATAACTAAACCCGATGATATTTTGACAACTTGTACTTTTTGCTCCTTCTCTAATAATGTCATTTCTGACGCCAATGAAGAATTCAATTCTTTATATAATGATTTCATTTCTTCTTGAGCTTCAGAAAGATCCGATGATGAACTGATTGATTTTAATCGCAGTGTTTTACCAATTTGATAACCTGTTCTACCTTGTGCACCACCAGAACCCAATAGTATACCAAGGGTGAAAAGTACACCAAGTGGACATGTTAAAAAGTTTTCTTGTCCTAAATAAATTTGAATAAATAAATAAAAGCGAAAACAATTAAATTAAAAAAAGAAATGAATGATAGAAGGAACTATCTATCTATCTATCTATCTATCTATCTATCTATCTATCTATCTATCTGAAGTTCGTGCTGATGATGTTGTTCAGTAGAAGAACAATGAAAGCTTCACAACCAAAGAACTATGCATTTGTAATAAATTTTAAGGCTAGATTAAATGTGGTGTGATGCTACGGTTAACAAAACATTTCATCACTTCAATGGCATTATGTTCAGGATGTAGAGTTCAATGTCTAAAATTTATATTTCATGAATGTAACAAATATTTAGGCATACATTATCGATCAGTAGTACTATGTATAATAAAATTTGAATTTTCATTCCTTGGTACACTGAAAAGATAGTGCAATTATATATTTTTACACATTTGAAATCATCAGTCAATCATTGTTAGACCACTATTAGACACCTAGAAGCACTGGACGGCCGTTTCGTCCTGGTATGGGACTCATATGACTGGAAGTAACTGTCAAGCAAGTCTGGACATAGATTTCATCTTAGTTCATATAGGATGTTAAGGTATATCTGCAGTCTTGTTGAGACTTGTATTATCCTTGAAAATATGGGGCGATGACCTTGAATGTCACAGTCAGAGATTTTATCAGTCAGCTATTCGATTTTCAATTGACCAAGTGTAGAAATGAAATGAATTCATACTAAATATTTATTTGTTAGTCATCAATTTCTTTTGATCTGATCTTTTATCCTGATCTTTCTCTCTGGATTTAAATAGTTTTTCAGGTGGTATCAGTTCAAAATAAGCATCATCTTCAAGTTACACATATAGGACCAGTGAGATAACACTGAACCTTGATATATCACCTACCAATCAGCTTTATTTCTATGTTAGAGGACTGACGACTAGACGTCGAACTGCTCACCACAATTTCTGATAGTCGAAGATCACTAACATGGATTGATGGCTGAACGACATGTTCGTCTGATATACTTAATGTACATTACTACCCCGACAAGCTTCTATTTCTTTCGCACAAGTGAATAAGAATAGCACGATCCCCATCTTAGAATAGTGGTTTACTGAAATAATGAGTTGCATCAAACAGAATATTCTCCTGTACCATTATTAAGCCATGCAATATATATATATATATATATATATATATGTTTCAAAGTAAATTGTGTACTTTCCTACTTTCCCTGAATGACCTTGTATCATAATCAGAAATGGATTATACCTATAATACATGAATCTATAAGTAATTTGATTACACATCTTAGAACCATATATTTCATTAAACTATAGAGTTTAAAAAGAAAACCAAGACTGACCGATTACAGTAAGATAATATATTTTTTAAGCAAAAATATCATGATTTTGTTTTCGTTGTAAATGAACTATAAGTAATCATCAATCAATCATTCATTGTTAGATCACCATTGAAAACCTGGAAGCATTGGACGGCCGTTTCGTCCTGATATGAGACTCATCAGCAGTGTGCATCCACGACTCCTGCACCTCGCAGGATTCGAACCTAGGACCTTCGGTATTGTGCGCGAACGCCTAGTCATCGGAGGTGCAGGAGTTGTGGATTAGCACTGATGATGAGTCCCATATCAGGACGAAGCGGCCGTCTAGTGCTTCCAGGTTTCTAAGGGTGATCTAACAATGATTGATTGATTATTTCAAATGTGTAAAAAAACACTAATCTCCATAACTCTAATTGAAAAGATTAATAAGTAATTTGAACAAAGAAATTGTCAAAATATACTCGAATATTTGAATGAATGATTGATTATCAGACTGAATTAATCCATCATTTTAATTGATAATCAAGTTCTAGTAGATAAGTTTATCAAACATTATTTTCAAAAGTTTATTTTATCTTAAGCCACAAGAAATGATATGTTGGCACAATAAAAAAACATGCATTGTACCTTATGTAGAAAGTTAACAACAATTTTAAATCTAATCTATTTGACAGATTCTGATTTTTGTCAATAGAAGGTTGTAGAGATTGTTGATTTAAGTCGAAATAATGAATTGATAAATGTCAAACAACCATTTGGAACCTGAAAGCACTGAATATCCATTTAGTCCTAGTTTGATACTCGTCATTACAGTACATCTACAACCCTGCAAGCGGCAATCGAACCCAGGAACTCCAGTCTCGTGCGCAAACACTCAACCTTTTCACCATTGGGCTGGCATCCAACTATGTTAGTTTCTAACACCAACCGGTTCACAATATTTCACAATCTCATCCACTGTCTTCAGTGAGTGACTGACATTGGTCAACACTTTCAAGAAAAAGCTAGATTTTCAGTTGAAAACAATCTTCAAGAAACGATATAGGTAGACCAATATACTATCGTTATTACTGAAACTAAATCTGAATCACCAGCAGCAACCCAGGACCTCCAGTCTCGTGCACAAACACTCAGCCTTTTCACCAATGAGCCGGCATCCAACCATGTTAGTGTCTAACACGAACGAGTTCACAATATTTCACGACCTCATCCATTGTCTTCAGTGAGTAACTGACTCATACCCAACACCGTTGAACTACAATGATCACAGCTTCTTACTATAACTCAGAGAATTCTTTCACTAGTCCCTAGTGAGCACATGAATTACTATTTAAAAGTATTATTACTCTTTGATTAATCTCTTCTTAAGGACATTATTCATCAACAAATTTATAAATTAAACCAAATAAAGACAAGAAAGTAAGATACTAACAGAAAATAATTATTGAAACTTACCAAATTCTGATGAAGTTGTCGAAAGAAATGAACGAGTAAACGCTTTATGACTTGGATTATTAGCGTACGGATCTTCAACTTTTGGAGTAACTCTGATACACATGTCTTAAAGTACTACTGATCTAGATGAGATTACAAATATATATATATATATATATATATATATAGAGAGAGAGAGAGAGAGAGAGAATTGACTGATCACTAGACTTTTTATCACGTCTTTGTTTAGTTTAACATATATTTGTCCTGTTAATCATGAATAATAATATTGTTTCATATTGGTTCAATCAGATTAAGTTATTTAATACTGTACATGTAAGAATAAAAATCATACTACTAGTCAACCAAATAAATCTAGTAATATTATCATCATGGTTTCATTATTCAATCTTTAGATAAACTGATCATAATTAATTAAGCCTTTAACATATGAACACATATATATGCAGTAAATGATTATGTGAAGTTTCATCTGCTACGGAAAATTAGAGCAATGAATAAAAAACTTATTGATTCCAGGAATATGGACCGATTTATAATTTACTGCTTTAGCATACCTGTCCGGTAGGAGACAGTTATTCACTGCAGGCAACGAATGAAGGTTGTACAACACTATAGATTGATTGAAGCTGGACATTAACATCATTGGATGGAAATTCAGTGGTCTAGAGGTTATGCGTTCACGTGCAAGACTAAAGGTTATTGGTTGGATTCCTGTTTATTAAGTTTGTGGATGAAAACTACTGCTGAGTCGCATACAAAGGCAATGTGGTGATCAAATGATGAGATTATAGTAGGATTTCAACCATGAAAATCAATAAGTTTTGAAAATCGAATTGATAGTTAGTGATTTGTGAGTAGATCATATCGACAACAACAGCTACGGAAAATTTTTTTATCCAGAATAACGATATCGACCAATCGTTTTTATCTGTAAGTAGTAAATCAGATTAAAGCTTTGATCTATTCAGTAATTATCTGTAGGCTAACGAAATAATTAATAAAATTATTCGTGAAGTGATGGTTGAAGGTAGTCAATAGGAAACCCTGCACCTAGGTTTCTTATTATAGGACACTCGTCAGCACTCAAATCTACCATGGAGTATCAGTTCCCGTAAGATTGCAGGTACACGTTGCTGACGAGTGCCTAAAAGTACGAAACCAAGATTAATTCTATGTACATAAATTTATTCATGATAAAACTGATTATGAAGTAACTTTTAAAGTAGCATTTTAAAGATGACTGAAGATAGACGGGTCGAAGTCTTGTTCAACGTTGCTATTATACTAAATGACATTTACTTTTGTTCCAAATTCCAATGATGATCATACATTTCATAAAATTCCAGATATAAGCTGATGACTACTGTGAAGTAGATAGAAATCGCGAATCAAACCCAGTTAATATGAGTTGGGAACAAAATGTTACTTTTCTACAAGTTTTAAAGCAGATGAGTTCACTATTTTTGTGAATAAGATAACTTTCTGTTATTTACCTCTAAATACACATTACCAAAATCGAGAAACAACATGTTATCAAGTCAGTCAGTTACAACGTAGAGCTTTGTACTTACGTGCATAAGTTCAAGTCGCCATACCATATTAACATGTTATCAAGGCAAGCGGATAAAAGGGATGTCAATCAAGAGACTTCAATTATGATCAAGAAACAGATCAACATAAAACCGTTTGTGTTTTAATAATCAACCAGTGTAGAGTAAAATTAAAATTTCGTAATAACTAAAAATGTTACTGAAGTTTAAAGTGTCCAAAAGACTAAAACGCAAAACATCAAGATTATAATAATGTATAAATCTCTGAGGATTATTCTATTCTCGATAAATAAACCGATATAAAGTTTAATATCTTGATCAAGACAGAAAAAATACATCGTAATTTAAACTTTAGGTGTGAACTGAGTTCGAATACTTTCGCTGAGCTGTTTTGAGATTTTTTAAGGCGCTCTTTTAAGCAGTTCTATAATACAAGATGAACATGCTTATTTCTCTAGCTATAAATGATTTTTGAAATAAAATGATTCATCGAAACTATCTCCAAACTGTACTTCTTTTTCAGAAAAACAACAAACTGCACCCAATTAGTTAAAGATCGATTAAATAGTAAGTGAGTTTGTAACGTGACAAGAATTCAAGAAGATAGAGATATAGTTTATTAACAAAAAAAGTACATCTAATCTTCAGACATTCATTTACAAAAAAAAGCAGATTACTAATGTCTTCTTTCGCACCTCTTCTGATTTTTACAATAATTTGATTGAGCCATACGTTTCGATTTGACACTCTTCTCTCCGGTAGGCATTTCTGGTCGACACTCCGCTGCATACTACTTAGGAGACAGTTCGCAATTATAATTCACCATAAATGCCATTATCTTTAAGAGCATAGTCTCACGTGTGTTTTAATACAATAAAGCCTGAATATATTCATTACAAATTAATGAATGAAACTTTCCATCTTGCTCATGTAAGAAATATAAAGCTTTGTCTAAAAGTACCTCAGACTTAGACTGATATTTCATATCCTTTTATAGGATCAAAAATAAATGTGTGAATGAAAGAACTGATTTCGATAAACTTTTGTGCAGACACTACATAAATAAACTGTTATATCTGTCACCTCTATTACTGTCATGCGAAATTCTTTCGACCAACTCATCCGGATCAACTTTTTACTATTAAACAACGTAAGTAATTTCCTGGTCATTTTCACTTCCACTGTAGTGACAACGAAGTTACCAAATAGTTAGTTACCAGATAAGGTCTATTTCAAAAATGTCGACAGGCGTAGAAAACGAAGGAATGTATGAATGTCTCTGTGGATAAAATGAAACTGCAATACATCCATAAATGTGCAAAAACTGTCCGTAACCAAAAATTGCCAAGTTTTACTGTGAGACGGCCGTTTGGCTAGTAAATACTTATATTTGAGTTCACTTATATTTAATTTGATTTAGCCATTCGATTAACTTATTCAACCAAGCCACCTGTATAGCAACAACTTATATGTACCATTAAGTTTTACTGTTGTCTGGTTTGATTGAGCTGATACGACTGAATATTGCTTACGCCTACGTGCATTTTCATCCTATTCACTTGAATGTTAACCTCTTATATATCTCAATGACTCGACATTTCCCTACGTGTATATACGAACATTTTAATCTTATTAATTCATTCATCCATTCGCATGTTTGCTTGGTAGTGCGTTTGCCCTGTATGTTTATGGTATGCTGATCCACTTTGTGGTGTGCTTAAAATTCAGCACTTCGTATTTGCCTTCTGGTTTATAACCGTCAGGCGATATTTGGTGAGGATTTTCAAGACGAGCGACTTACGAAGCTTAAGAACACGATGCAACTGGCCACTCATATTGACAATAATCAAAACAAAGGTCTATCTAGGTTTCCCAGAGTTCTCGTCACTTCAATCGTCGAGCCTGTTTCGCTCAGTTCAAACGCCATCGTGTAAACCACTTAGCTACTTAGCCAAGTGAATTGTAGTGGAACGCTTCTACTAAGAAAATACGATTTGTGAAAAATAAACACTATTGTACTCGTGTTGTTTAACTGTACCAAAAAACACTTCTTGCGTTGCTGCCATTTTTCATAACGCGCTACTCCCCATGTAATGCCTACTTTCTTCTTCAATAAAATATTCAAACATGGATTTACTTTGACGGCATAGTATGGAACATTTAGTGGTGGTTATAGTCAATCTGGTATCTCTCACGTCTAACGAATCATGAAACTTATTATTATTTGTAGCCATTAAATAAAATCGAAATTGAACCAACAGTAGATTGAATAATAAAGAGGAGAAATGTCATTAAAGTCTTTTAAATATGTGAAATAAAACATCAGGGGGTACACAGGCTCCCAATCATCGTTACTAGAACTTATATCGACAGATTGTAATGATGGTTTCTCAAACCTCGCTCTTGTACCTTCCTTAATTAAAGTGACCAGTTCTAGTTTTTGGTTTCCATACTGCCATCAGCAAAAATGCGTTAGCTCGAGGAAGACTAGACTTCTATGGAGTAAAAAAACAAGAAATTACAAACTTGGCATCCTGAAGAAATTAAACAATGTTAAGAGACTCCCTCTTCATTGCAAAGTCTTTGAATGTTGAATTTACATGTCAAAATAATTTATTCACGAATAAAAACTATTACATGGAGCATGTCAATTTACAGGCAAGATCAATTTATTACAAATTCAAACACATTTACTTCAATAGGTTGCTCAGTTAGACTGATATTTTATAAGATACATCAGTCGGTACCATAGAGGGTTGATATTTCCCATATGAAATTATGTATAATGTTTAGGAGATCATGATACGCAATACAATAGTTAGCCGGAATCGTTGGTCGTGTTGTGACTAACGATTACGCTGAGAAATTCGAAAAATTCCCCATCATGGTTCAGTTAAAGACGTCCTCATATTTCTCTGTATGAAAAAATGTGAGAAATTTATAGGATATTGGGTACCCATGAGTTAAAATATTAGTATCAGGAATCCTGAGATATAGGTGTTTCGAACATTTGAAAGTCTAAAATATAATAGGAAGAAAATATTGTTGAGGAATCTATAGGATACCTCAAAAGCATATCTTCGAATACAAACTAAAATGTTGAGATAAGAGACAGAATCAATCAACGTGAATAGATAGTAGTGCTTCATTATTAGTGGAAGAAGGGTTTATTGAAGTCCAGGAATTCTCAAATTACTCTATTGTTGTATGTACTTTAGAGATACTGTTACTTTCAGTCCATATAAACACCAACATGTTCTCCGAACACCGTTAACAATGAGGAACTCAGTTCATTTGATCTGTTAAATAAGCTTCATATAGATCAGTGCATCTCACTCAGTGAAATTCGTCCCAGATTACTCGATAACTTAGTAGATTTAATCACTGATTCCTCAAACATATGTTTCAAAGATTGGAACCTAGTTATAGACGTTGCCTTTATTGACGAGTGAAGTTTTCAACAAAGTCCTTCGCAGCCTGTTTCTATCTAAGATTAATTTTACGGGATCGTAGTCAACTTATTTTTATGGATAAAGGATCTCCTTCTCAGGAGTCAACGAAGAGTACGTATCAACTTCAGGTTGCCTAGATCGGAAACTTTGCCTTGGGTATGATTTGAAATCAGTGTTGTTCCTTTGTGACTGTTGATGACTCTCGTAGTTTCCCATCATCAACCATTTGTGACACACTTACAATATCAATATATGGTGAGTGATCGGAATGAAGATAACAGATAAGAGCTTCAAAATGAACAGTTCGAAATTCGGCAATTGTCACGTGCAAAATTAGGATGATGGATAATAATACCCTAATTTTCATGCAGATATATAACGTACAATCTTTCAGAATCATATGATCAATGTGCAGACCATTTAGCCATCTCAACTGTAAAACATTTTTGCAATTGTATACCGTATTTATTCGACCCAGATTCGAGCAATGTTTACAAGCTAGCCACTGCTTGTAGAAGACAGTTACCTGTGGGAAAAAGTACAAATAAGCTGATGCTTTGTATTACAAAGCAGTCATATGATGAGAGATCCGTTGCACTGAACCAGTTACTTCATCATAAGGAGGATCAGAGGTAACTTTACCATTTGTTTTAAATTAAACAATAATAAATTTACACCAGACATATCCCCATTTTTATTGTACAACAAATAAGAGAACTGACGGAAGAACTGGAGTTCACAATTCCAGTAACATATTGACACGTCCTATCTTTTCGCTAGTTTCGGGACTAACAATCTTTGAGGCCACAGCAAAAAGTTCGAAAACCACGATTTTCGTACTCCTGAACTTATCAGAAAACAATGGAAAAATTTAAATTATGTATTTCTGATTGTCAACTTTATGGTTGGACATATCCACCTTTTTCTGAAAGCTATGTTTTTGAGTCTTTCTAGGTGTCATAAACGAGATAAACGTATTTTACTTGTGTAAAGCTTAGTAATGGCTGCGTTGTTCAAGACTCAATTCACTCTGACTGCATTGGTTTGATCCGCACTCCTAAAACCAAGCTTATCAATAAACAATACCTGTAGCCTTACAGAAAAAATGAGAGTCGGGAGAAAAAAATCAAATGGTTTATATTAGCTCGTGAAAAACGTACTGTATGTTGTTTATCAGCTATTGGCTCTTCAACTTTTTCAAGGTTGCCGATAATTTAAATTGAAGGTTATTCGTGTTAGTGCCTCAACAACACTGTTATTTATTATTCATACAATATCTGTGATATGTTTTGGTCAAATAGGTTTTTTCTTCGATGGATTACGTTTTGATAACACTTTCTATGTTTCGTCTGATGTAATAAATCCTTGTAAGCTCATGCGGGAAGCCTTAATACCCGGTTTCATTTTATTGAGGCGGTACTCCTGCATAAGCCCTTGGATTCGTACATTTTTACTGTGTTTTCTTTCTTATATTTGAATAATTAAAGCTATTCAGCTTTAGAATGATGCAATTAGCCACAATTTTCTTACCGTTCTATAATCTTTAAGGATTCATGTAATAATTCAGTTGTTTCTTATTTTGTTTCGTTTATTTCTGACCCATATATTTGACGTCAGTAGTCATAGTTTCTTCATAAACATGTATAAGATGATTGTGTTTTTCGCAGTCTCCAGTCTGTATGTAATAGTGGATTTATCCTAGCCGAGTTTTAATTGACTGCGGTTGCTTTAACCTATGGTCAATCCATTTCCAATGACTGCAAAAATAAACTGCGCAATCATCCCAAATTCTATGATTTTTACATATCCCTTCAAAAAATGAATGCAATTATATCCAAACATCAACTTGATGTTACGAATAATCTTCGTTTTTTAGTTAACCAGACATTTACCAGATTTCTTTTTGGTGTTTTCTTTACCCATATATTCACTCCCGGTGCAGATTTATTGCTCACCTCGCTCTATAAATTGTTTTGTTTTATAGTGCCTAAATTTCTACCTGTAGAAGAATCTCAAAACATATTGATTATTCACATTATTTTCTCTTTAGATCCTTTCATTTTGATTGAGTTTTACTTCTTAATCCTGACTAACGATTAGAACCTAGGTAACACAAGTCAAATCAATCAGTCGTAGGGTCAAAATAAAAAAAATGACAACGTACTTGTTTTTTGCCCCAGAGAATACCTTATTCTTGAACAACTTCATTCTGAGTTTTAGATTCAATACACTGTTGTGCGGTCCTGAACTTGGGTATGCTCATAGGCTAAAAATATAATAACTAGCTTGTGCTAATAATTAGGTATCATAGCTGATATTGAGCAAAACGCACCCTTCAGTATTTATTTCCAAGTTGGCTATGATCAAGAATGTTGGCCGTTAATGTCGAATGGTATAACATCATATCTATTGACCTGATTCAAAAAAATAGCCAGAAGATTGTAAGTTGTTGCTATAAAGTAATAAGGGTCGGAATAAATACAAAGTGTTTATATCACATTTTGTAGGTCTCTTTCCGATTTATTTCTCGCTTCAAATATAAGTTTATCTTCTTTTGTATTAATCCTAGTTTCTTCATGAGGTTACTTAAGCCTGCCTGGGTGTCTCATGGATTCTTATCAAAGGACAAAGCTATTGGTAAATTTTCTTCAGATTTGCATGACCATTTTAGGTCGACCTATATATAGCTTAGATATACATCCTGATGGTTCACGTCTGGCCACTGGTGGGGTAATTGACACATGTGGAGTTGTTGTTTTATGGAATATGGCTCCTATCCGAGATCCAACTTTAGAATCAAATGAAAACTCTTGTCTTAAGCTTTTTCAAATGGACAGTCATCAAGGTGAGCAGATAACTAGAATACTTTTACTATTAATTATAATTAATTTGAAATAATTTTTAGTATCTCGTTCGTTTATTGTCAATTAGTTCACTAGGATAAACTTGTCTTCTAATATGTAACGGCAATAAGTTTCTCTCAACGTCTGTTTATATTGGAGCGATACTTTACATAATTGCGCCATTCTCTCGGTCACTATCCCAGTTCATACATAAATTCACTGATCTGTTTGGTGCCTGCTTGTACCAATGCTTGCTCGTTTAAATAAATGTAAATAAACTCACCAGTCACCATTTCCGGCTCTAAATAGTGACTGATATATAAACTCTATGAAATTTATAACCTTGCGCTTAACCGATCACGTTTGTTTTCCCATATATATACGTAACGACGATCTCGCAAATGGGAATCGAATCCCACGACCTTCGATCACGCCCGTAAACGCTTAACCTATTGATTAAAGTTAGACAATAGCATTATTGAATAACTGCTCACTGGTCAGGATGTTAATCGTTCCCACCCGATATCGAAGATCATGTATGTGATCGTGGAGGCTTACTGCTGATAAGCTCTACACCGTGATAAAACAGCTGTTCAGTGCTTCCATGTTCTCAACGGTGATCTAACATTGATCGATTCATGATCTCAAATGTTTTGTTATTGTTCAACAATTTGCAGCGATACACATTTCTATTAGATCTTATGTTAATTATAGTTTTCGATAAACAATAACGTCAACAAATATACTACTTAGTTTTTTTTCTGTTTTACAATGACAAATATTTTTTTGCTTATAGCTTGTGTCAATTGTGTTCGTTGGTCACCATCTGGTCGTTGGTTAGCATCTGCTGGAATGGATAAAGTTATTATGTTATGGTCGAAAACAGCGTAAGTTCAAGTGTAGTTCTTTGGTTAATTGACTATTATTATTATATTTCTGTATGTGTGTTTCATGTTTGATGCATTGATAGTCTGTAGGACTTTCTACTTGTATACGTCTAGTCAAATAAAAGCGTTTAAAGAAACTCTTATCTTAACTTCATAGAATAGGTTGTAGAAGTCTGGTCGACAGCCTATGCTGCACCAGGGGTAACCGGTGTAGGTAAGCAAGTTGATTGTAGAATCAATACTTAAAGTCTTATTTCATTCATTCTGTGGGGGTGATTGTCTCATTAATACTCATTAATCAATGAATAGATGAATTTCTTACTTTACTGTTAGATACGTTATGCTAAGTCTGTAATGCACTGTTCCTGGGTTATTTTTAAATTTACTCACTGGGATGCATTTGATCACTGTCGATTAAGATGCTAACATTATATCATGTTATATATATTCATCTATTTTTACAGAATTCCAATCAAATATGATCATTTTAATATTATTTTGTTTACAGTGGTACATCCCGTCCAGTTCAAGTATTTGGTTCAAAAGAACCTACTAAGTTTACAGAACATTGGCGTTGTGTGTCAACACTTCGAGGTCATAGTGGTGGTAAGTTGGCTTCTACTGACATCATATTGACTAATTTTATCTCAAAAGTTGTTGTTTAATTGACCTAAATAATTAATTTTCAAATGTTAAATTCATTCTATGTATATAGTGGTCTTGGAATAGCGATTGTATCAATAAATATTCTGGTATAAACATCTCATAAGATAGTTGCTTGAGTTATTTCTGCTTAATACATTGTATTTGATCATTCCTATCTTTATTTAAGGACTGAATTACACGCTAATATTGTCGTGAATACGTCTCTATTTGATTAACCACGATCTTATAGTGTGCACTGTATTTAAATGACATAATTCACAGTTGCGTCAAGTTGTACAACTAATAGGGACATGGAGGTATTGGAAAAGGTTTAAGGATCAAAGATAAGACTCGATAAAATATATACAAGTGAAAGAAATCTAAAACGAGAAAAAACAATTATACGGAGTTTACAAGCTTAAAATTTGGCGGAAGATAAACAATGGATTGATCTGCACCATTACAAGCGATTTCGAGCCATGTCGCTCAAAGTCTCCAGTCATCTTTTATGATAACCACATGGAGCCCAGCCAGATAGTCTATACCTACGAACATGGTTCAATCCAATTGTTAATGACCTCGTGAAGTGGTGTCATATTTTGGTTTGACTACCTCTTGCTTTCTTTCAACCTACTCCCACACTAGACAACATAGACCATCGATATCATTTCCCTAAGCCTAACATTGCTAGTTCCATCGTCCCAGAATACACGAACAATGTTTTCTAGACACTTCTGATCGAATAGTCTATTCTTAATGGCCGCAATTTTCATTAATAAGTATATCTATCTTATTCTTGTAAAACAGTAACTCAACTAGATTATAAATTCAAATTATCCTTTAACTTAGCTCGGTTTGTGCAGTCGGTTACTTGTAACACTAGTGTTATGCATTTATTACACCCATTAACCATGAAATAACAGTATCCTGTATACGCTAACGGTCAATAGGCTATACACAATTCTCAATGCTTTTCAATCTACCGATCAGCAATCTCTTTCGTAACAATCAAATGTAACTCACTCGATTATAGAGATAAAATACCAAGTCACACTTCATTACATGTGATAAATTTCAACATCTGCATAACTAAGACAATTGCTATGCTAATCTAAATAGTAAGTTTATGATTACTCTAGTTTATGAACAGTAAAAAGATATATGCAACAGGTGATCGATAAAATATCTTTATATATCCTATGCAGCAATAGGACTCTTCAGATTAGCCTTCACCTAATATATCTTGAGGCTAAAAATGTAAACTCATACCTGGTAAAATGAAATCACCTTATTATTCTATGGCTACTGATATTTATACACTATAGTCAAATGTTTATCGAATTGATATTTCCTTACAAAAATTTTTCATCTCTTCCTTTCTGTCAAATATCAAATAGAATAGAGAATAATCAGAATTAGTTTTTTTACAATTTTCTTAACTACATTTGTGTTTGTCTTTTTGTTTAGTCAGTCAGTCAGTCAGTTACAACGTAGAACTTCGGATGTACGTACATCAGTTCAATTCGCCGTACCACGGTAGCACAGAGATGCAATTGTCGATTCAAATCCCATAGTGGTAGATGTAGTAGAAGTAAGAGCAATAATCGGAAAGATCACGGTCCGAAGATATTATTCAAGAAGTATAATCCAGTGAAATAGATTTGAGACTAGAAGAATGAAGGTCATGAGGAGTTTAGATTAGAATTTGGGAGAACACAAAGAATGGATGAACCTGCGCCATTGCGAACGATTTTCAGCCTTGTCAGCGTCCTCAACAAATAGAACTATGTCATCGGCATATTTTAAGTCAATAAGAGTGTCTCCTGGTAGAAGGTCTATCCCTGATAAGTCAGACGAAGATAATGTTAACTCTAAAAGCATGTCTATGACAAGATTAAAGAAGAATGGGGAGAGTGGACAGCACTGACGGGTACCACTTGAAGTAGAGAATTCCGGTGACAGTTCGCCATAAGCTCTCACTCGACCTGTAGTGTTCGAGTAGAGAGCTTGTATAACGTTAATTTACTTCTTTGGTACACTTTTAAATGACATATACTGCCACAGAACCTCACTATCGACAGAGTCAAATGCCGCTTTAAGGTCGAGAAATACTACTATTGTGGGGCGTCTGAACGTGTGTCTTTGTTCTAGGACCTATACATCCACGTCCAGGTCGGAAACCAGCCTGGTTTTCTCGAGTCTGCTGTTCATGAGCTTTCGTTAGGCTTTGGAGTATTATTGAGGCCAGTATTTTCAATACTATATTAGTTAAACTGATTCCTCTGTGATTGTCACAAGAGGACTTTTGTTCTTTTTTATAGAGTGGGATAATCAGCGATTGAGACCAGTCAAATGGGATTACGTTCCTAGATCCCACTTAAAATTTCAGTTAGTTTAATTGCTAAAACTGGACCACTATTGTGTTTATATTGTGGTGTTCGTTAGGGTTGTCCTCCTCCTTCATTTTCATTTAACTTTGTTATTAACATGTTTTTAAAGACAACGTTTACGTCGTCTGAATTTTCACGAGTTGAACTTTTACTGGGCGATTCACTTGTCTTAGAATATGCAAATAATATGGTTATGTTTTGTGAAGACGCTCACAAAATCCAAATCCTCTGACCGCTTTAATCAACAATGCGAGCATGTTCAGGATGCTTGCTTCATAAATGGCTTGCGGCGGCACTTGACCCAGTGATAGCGATTGAAGTAGTTCAGCGTGTTGACCGCGTCACTAATCCATGAAGTCACTGACAACTGGGCTGACCCATGTTAGTAGCTGTAGGTTGCCAGGTTTGGGTTCCCAAGACAATCCTAACCGATGGTTACAGACTTTAAAGAACATGGCTTAAAATAGTTTGCTATGGCACAGGTGCATCCATTATTTGTTATCTCTTAAATTCTAATCTTCTCAATTCATCATGACTTTCTGCTAACTCTACTACTATATTGTTCCATCTCTCTATGCAGTAGTATGGCAAGTTGTATAGATGTACCTACGTACCAAGTTCTACGTTGTAACTGACTGACTGACTAACTGATTTGTGTTTATATTCTAGTACAGCCGTTCAAACGAATAAGTCTACTTAAAGTTTATTTCTTTTTTAGATATTATTGACTTATCTTGGTCTCATGATGGAAATCGTTTGGCTTCAACTAGTGTAGATAATTCTGTCATTGTTTGGTGTCGTCAAAAACTTTCTAATGGTTCAGGTTATACAAGCAATTCTTTCTATTTACAAGCAACTTTACGAGGTCATAAAGGTTTTGTTAAAGGTGTCACCTGGGATCCAGTTGGTCGTTATTTGGCTAGTCAAGGTGATGATTTAACTGTGAAAATATGGCGTACTGCAGACTGGCAAGAAGAGGCCAGCATTAGTAAACCATTTACAAAGGTAATGTTAATGAGACTATTATATAAGCTATATCTGTTGATATGTTTGGTACTCGTGTAGTGAAAAGGACATAGGTGGGGCAACCGACTTGTATTTGATGAAAATTACAGAGTTACTCAGTAAAATTGGAAAACCATATCGTAAATCGTTCATTTGCAAAATAACAGTTCACCATATCGAACTGGACTGTTCCTGTTGCAAAACATCAATCCATTGTCACTATTCATGCGTTTCATACAAATTCCATTGTTTTCTAACTCTTCCTTTCTTGATCTTCCCCCATATTATGCTGCCAGACATTACGTTGACACTCACGCCATATACTACTTATAAGTAGCTCGCACCACAGCACCACACTCGAACGTCTGTTTAAAACTCCCCATTGACTTTCTAGTTCTTCAGAGCTGCCCTACACTTAATCTTCGAACAATAGATAGGTCATAAGTAAGAATAGAAGCTTTCCTTCCTACTCAGAAAACAAGGTGCGTTACAGGTAACCTTAACGTCCTGGAACCATGCTGAATTAAGTAACAAGATAATAATTACCTAATCGATGTGTCGCATAACTAATCACTTTTTCTAGAAGTTTACATTGAATCGTGATTAAACGAAATGCTTCTTGTATTCCGGTTGTTGAAGACTTTTCAGGGATTCTCCAGAATTAGCGATAAGAACAAATTATAGCTAGGTATTGAGACTACTTTTTGTAACTGCGAATAGAACTTAAAAACGGAAATTGTGTTATAGCTCGATGGAAAAATCATTTATTTCACCATCTAAACGCTTAGAAACATTTGCATTTATTTGAGAATATAGTTGTGTTGATCACGCTGAATCGAACAATACAAAGTACTACACTAATAAATACCTGCATGTTTTGGATGATGGCTTTTGTAGTTCTCTAAGTTTTCACATCCATACGAGAGGACAGTTTTGTGGTTTTCATTGAAAATTGTTACTTTGATGTTGGTTGACAGTTTTTTCAAGTTCCAGATGTTCTTTAATTGTAGAAATACTGCTTTTGTTTCGCTAATCCATGTCTTCACATCTGTTGATCTACTGATCTTTACTCATTTCAGTTTTACTTCTTACCAGCATTCATTCATTACGTAATCACTTATTTCTAGCCTTTTTGACCTTGGTAATTGTTGTAATGCTCGCTTAACTAATTCCCGGCTAATTCCTATTGCTTAGTATTCTCTGACTACAATACACTGGACAGGTTCCAAAGAATCAAAAACACGGTGGAACAGGAAAAGATTATATTCCGAATAGCAAGGTTAAATGGAAATACGAAGCCGAAGGCGAAGGCAAAAATAGATACAACGTTAGTTTATTTATAGCATTTACATGAGAAGCTTCTGGATAGAAATTCACGTGATCGACTGGATTAGATTTAGCCAATCAGCATGCAGCTAACAGTACGAGAATTTTCTACCCTGTTCTCCAAGAATCGATCAGGTGCTGATTGGATAGGAAATTAGCCAATCGGCGCGCAGCTGACGCAGTCATGCTTTATTGCATCTATGGTCCCCTAACACTTCCCCTTTGACCAGATTCGTAGGATCTGGTGCCAGGATCCAACTGCAATGATTTCGAAGGTGTCCAGTAGAACGTCAAGTGGTATTCGATACTGAGTCCCGTAGCTGGCTATCGAAGTTACTTTCAGTTGGTTAGCATGACGTACCCAAACTTCTGAGCCAACTGACACCTCACGAATCACATTCCCTTTCTTTTTCGATATCCGACCAACTGTCCATGCAGGATGTTTTCTACGATAGTCCATAGCAAGTACTTTTTGACCCACTGTGAACGATCGTCTTTGTGCCCCATGGTGTCGATTGAACTGCTTCTCCATCGATAGGTTTCGTTGAGGCTCAAGAGCTAGTCTAGGACGAATGACATCAAAATGTGGTCATATTTTTATGCCAAGTAGAGCTTCTGCAGGTGAGACTCCGTTAATCGTCTGGATAGGAAATTAGCCAATCAGCGCGCAACCGACGCAATCATGCTTTATTCCATCTATGTCCCCCTAACAGTAATTATCAGTGTTGCATATATATATATATATATATATATATATATATATATATATATATATATATATATATATATATATTACAAGTTGCAAGCAGCTGATCTGAAAAACCAAACGAACTAAAAATAAATCCAGGTTATTCTGCTTAGATTATTATTCTTGCTCTCTTCAAGACATTGACCAAGGAGGGCCATTTGTATGAAATAATAATAATAATCTCCTTTGTTTCAGTCTGTACATTGCACTGAATATTATTAATTGCTTACGCGTGTTACCCCTAACAGAGCGTAGGTCGTCAACTGGCATTCTCCAACCTGCTCTGTCTTGGACCTTCTTTTACAGTTCTACTCAATTTCTATTCATTCTTTTCATGTACGCTTCCAATTCTCGGCGTAATGTGCTTTTTTAGTCTTTCTCTTTTGACACAGTTGGTTGCTTTCCTCAATGAGTGTCCTATCCACTTCCAACGCTTTTTCCTAATTTCTCCCTTCACTGGAATATAGTTTGTTCTCTACACTGAATATTATTCTTCCGTAGTAGATATAATTTGTAAATTAATTGTTTAAATACACAATGTTATTCCGCAAGTTTTAAAAAAACCTATTACATTTATTAGGCTAGTGGACAAAGTCAAGTTATGCGTTTATCATGGAGTTTAGACGGGTCAACTCTTGCATCACCTCATGCTATAAATAATGGATTTCCTACTGCTAAACTAATTGATCGAACAAATTGGTCACCAAGTTTAGATTTAGTTGGACATCGTAAACATGTTATTTGTGCAGTAAGTTAAAATGTTTTATTGCCGAATATACTCAATCACTTTGATTCATTATATGGAGTATATGTCATGTTATTTGTCATAACTTACTATTCGTTATAGAGTTATTGAGATTATTGTTTCTCATTGAAATCATGAATCAATAGTTGTTAGATCGTTGTTAGAGCACTGGCAAGTCGTTTCGTCCTGGTATAGCACTCATCAGTAGGTCAGTCAGTCAGTTGCAACGTAGAACTTCGTACGTATGTACATCAGTTCATGTTGCCATACCATATTAGCACAGAGACACAAATGTCAAATCAAATCACATAGTGATAAAGATAGTAGAGGTATTAATGGTAATGAAGAAGACTAGGGTTTGAAGATATTATTCAAGAAGTATAATTCAGTGAGATAAGGTTAGGAAGACAAAAGTAGAGGTGCTGACAATTTCAGAAGATTAGGATTTGAGAGAACACAAAGAGTGGATGCACCTGCGCCATTGCAAACGGTTTCGAGCCATGTCGTTTAAGGTCTCTAACCATTGGTGACTTTCGTTTCGCGGACCCCAACCAGGTAGTCTACATCTACCAACATGACTCAGTCCACTTGTCAGTGACTTCATGGATTTCTGCCATGTTTTGGTTTGGCCGCCCCTAGCTTTCTTCCAACCTACTCCTACACCACAAAACCCAGCCAGTCGAGGCGGTCGGTAGTTAGGCATTCGTAACACATGTGCCAACCACCTCAACTGATGAAGTTTCACCACTTCATTTATTGATCTGCCATTCTTACCTAGTACTTGTTTCCTAACAACAGCATTGCTTATACGGTTGTCCCATGATTCACAAGCAATGCTTCTTAAACATCTATGATCGAATACTAGTAACCTACGAATATCTTCTACTCTCACTGGCCATGTTTCACATTCATATAGGAGAACGGAGGGAACTGCTGCGCAGTACACCCGTCCTTTGGTTAGCGAACGGATATCTTGCCTACGCCATAAGTGACGCAGGTTGGCAAAAGCCAATCGAGCTTTCTGTATCCGCGGTGAGGTTTCGTCAGTCACCAGGCTATCGGCGCTGATGAGGCTCCCCAGATAAGTGAAGTGATCAACACGCTCGACTACTTTATTCCCTATCACTATTTCAGGTGTCGATGCAACCCAATCTTTAAGCAACATTTTAAACTTCGAGGGGGAAAGCCACATCCCGAACATGCTTGCATTGTTGCTTATGGTAGTCAGAAGACTCTGCATTTTGTCAACGTCTTCACCGAATAGAACTATGTCATCGGCATATTCTAGATCAGTAAGCGACTTTCCTGGTAGAAGGTCAACCCCTAAAAAATCTGACGAGCCTAATGTTAACTCTAAGAGGATGTCTACGACAAAGTTAAACAAGAATGGGGAGAGTGGACAGCCCTGATGGACACCACTTGATGTAGGACTCATCAGTAGTGCTTATTTGTAAATCCCGGTACTCGCGAGAATCGAAACCCTGACCTTCGGTCTCGTTGATGAAGACTTAACCTGTACATTGCTGAGGTGGCATCCAACGGTGTTAATGTCTAACTTTGATCAGTCGTAGGTTTTGCCCAACCTCACCCCATTGTTTTCGGTAGTTACTGCCTACATCCAACAGGATGGAACTCCACTGATCACTGTTTCTTACTCGAACTCCGAGACGTTCCTCACGAAGCTGGTCACTAGTGCGCACTGCTAAACACAGCGTCTACATCAAAGAGAATACTCATGGCAAATCCACTTATAACTGGCCTCAAGCACTTGCCTTTTGGAATGTACAGTCATGTTCCTGTGTTTCTCAATATAAGCAGTCTTCACATCTCTATCTTTTATGAGCTAATTTGACATATTTTAAGTGTCTAGAGCAACTTAATTATGGCGTTCTCATTAATTTAACGATTGACAGTATGCTCTGTGTGTGTAATATATAAAGTATGATTACCGTGTTATTTGATTAAAAGCCTTAGTTATCTAGTTTTTGTAAAAAAGAAAATCAGTTCAATTAATCGAACTAACTACATTTTTCTTTTATTTTTTTTCTTACTTTTCATTCATTTCCTATTTTCAGCGTTATAATCCTAATGTTTTACGAAAACAAGATGGTTCAGGCATTCCAGTAAGCTGTTGGAATATATATTTTTTTTCTATATTTCGTTATGTTAGTCATTATTTTCAATGTTATTTCATTTATGATTTTCACAATAACTAATGTCTCGTCATCTAAGGGTAGTAGGAGTGTCTGGGCCTGTCTGCATCAAGTTCGGCTACAACTTCTGCTATCCTATGCCATATACGTGTATGGAGTGCTCGGGTATATACGGTGACGTGCATAAATGGAGCCTTTTTGGGGTTGTGGTGGCGACTACCTCTTCGTGGTCACGTCAGGCAACGTGGCGGTGGTAACCTCGCTGCGGCTAAAGTTGTTCCGAACGCTTAGGATGCCATGCTTAGCATGCTCTAGAATAATGGTACGTGTTCATGATTACAAGGCCGTGGATGCCACTCTGGGGGATTAGGACTGAACGCCTTTAGGTCTGAATCGCGTCCATTGAGCGTAGGTAAATTGAAATAATGGTTTGAGGACTTGTCCTCTATCATTCCGGTAGTAGCAAATACCGTGAAGGGATATAGCTTTCCAGCTTTCTTGAAGGTGGCCCTAGACGATTTGTTTGGGGAAGCAGCCGTAAAGATCCTGGACTATTGACGCCGACCCTATATGATTGTCCCGAACACTGCATCTCAGTGTAGTGTGTAAACTGGCGTCGAGGTCCCTTAAACAAGCGTCTGCATTTGGGTTATGGGATCCTGTGCTGAAAGCGTACTTGATCGCAAATGATGTCTGCTTATTTATGTAGTGGGATTATTCCTGTCTGGCTGAGTGCTTGCGCTTGGTCGAATTCATGACATCTACTCCATGGAAGGGTGTACATTCTGGCTGACCTTTTGGAACAAACCCGATCTTTTGCTTTATGTGGTGTTTTAAGGGCTCCAGTCGATTGTATCAGTGTAGGGCAGTTGGAGGCTAGATGGTTGAAACGGCTGCTGGTTAGTGCACTACTGGGTGGCTCGGTAAACCATCGCGGGGTACAGGGACTAGCTGGGGAAACCCGCCTTGCTGCCCATACCGATTGGGGGATGTGGGTAGTGGTTTGGTTGGAGAGATTGAATTAATTCATAAGCACCCGCACGGGGGCGACGCTCGTACGCACACTGATTGGATGTCCAACTTGCTTGCGGTAGAATCTAGTCGACATGTACATACCCTTTTGGGCAAAGGGAATCGCGTGATGGCAAACGTGTGAAACTTTGTGATGTGTAAAAAGCAGCATGTGTGCATGTGCTGCAGGCGGGTTGGTTAACCCACAACCTACTGATTATTGTATTGTAAAACAAAACA